CCCCCCCGTGCAGGCTCCCCCAAAGCTGTAGCATGCTCTAAAACTGCATTCTGGTGGCCAGCTGCAATCAGGCTCTTCCCGGGGTGCTTTCTGCCCTAGTTAAACACAACGGGGCCGTGACGTTTGCGTTGGGAGTTCCTGCTGCCCACGAGTGGGGTGGGGGTGGTGTGTGGAAGACGGGGCAGTCTGGAAGGCTCTTGGATCAGAGAGCTGTAACTGTCTCAGTCAGAACTTTGGGCTGAACCTTAGGGCCATCAGGAATTCCCTGAAGAATAAAAAATTATTGTAGTATCGTCAGGTGATTCGGGTTGAGGGGGATCTCGGGTTGTCATCCAGTCCAGGCTCAAGGCAGTCGGGTCACACCCAGTCACTCAGGGCCACGTTCAGTCTGGTCCTGCAAACGTTATGTCTGTGCCCCAGCCTGAAAATGTCACTTCCTGCGTGTATTTTATGCTTCTCCAGAAATGAGTTTTATAAAGGAACAAAAGTTTGTCTTACAAGTCTCGAGAACACTAAACTTGTTCAATAAATGCCTCGTTTCTAGCTGGTGCGTTTATGCAACGAAGGTGCTCGGAAAATGGAACGGACAGAGATGATGTACACCATTAACTCCCAGCTGGAATTTAAAATCAAGGTAGGATGGTGATATTTCTGACCATAAATCGTGTAGCATATGAATAGCTTTGAGTGCACGATGAGTTTGACGGGTTCATTGCCAGCTCTAAGGGAATTAGCGCAGGCTGTAAACCTGAGGTGCCATTTCAGGCCAGGAGGACGAGTTCATGCTCTGGGGCAGACGAAGCCCTGGAAGCGCAGAGTGGCCAAGGCCTGTGGCATCGAACCCAGCAGAGCGAGCTTCAGGTTCAGGCTTCTCAGGGAAAGAGAGTCCCGGGATATCTATTTTTAAAAAGAACCAATTACCGCAGAATGAGGTCTGTCCAGTCTCTGGTTTCCCTTTGTGGATGGAGCCCCGTCCCTGCGCAGTGACAGCACCTGGTGACACCGCCCCCACTGCTGGGGAGTTGGTCACTGTGCGATGGCTTTGTCACAGTTCTCACACAGAACCTGACGCTGCTCTGCCCTCCGTCCTCCTGGCCTGTCGGGGTTCAAAGGGCTTTTTTGTCCCTCTCTTTCCTCCTCACATAAAACGAGCAGAAGGAGGCCCGGCGTTGTTCCTCCTCTGTGTGGGAATCGTTGCCTTTCTCCACTGTGAGTGGGGGCTCTACAACTGGTCTTTTTGGTAGGAAAAAAATAGTCGTGGACAGTGGGGGTTTATGGTACTTTCAAGGTATTTCTTCAGGCGCGTTTATTCTCGTCTATCCAATGTTTCTTAAAATACCATTTCTATAAACGATGATACATCACGAGTATTCTTTCATTTGTGAGAAGATTTTTTGATGAACGTACATGTGGTAAGTAGAGGTTCATGTTTTTAAAAATCTTGGTCAGTCTCAGAGGAAATGCTGTCTCCAAAACAATGTTTTCCAGTTTGGCTAAATGATTTTTGTTCTCAAACATTGACTAAAAACTGAAAAGAGCAATAATATTTACTTACAACAGCAACAGTAATAAAACACTTCTTAACAAGCGCCATCGCTGCATTTGCTGACTAACGGTGAGGTAAGTCTCAAGTCTGTGGGCAGTGGAGGCCGGGCCGTCCCCTCTGCAGCCTCATCCCTGGTCTGGGACCCAGAGCAGCCCCCGGCAGTGCTGAAGCCCTTCCCGGGATTCCTCTCGGCGTGTCCCCGCAGCACCCGGAGGCCCCGTGTCCCTCTCCTCCGCACGTGCCGCAGCTGGCAGCCGCCGCCGCTGTCATGGGACTAACAGCAACTTTATGTATTTGTTTTTCTGTATTTTTATACAAGGTTTTTTTCCGTTGTGCATCTTAAATATAACCATTTAGTGGTTTAGACCTTATCTATGGTTTGAGAGCTTGCCAGCTGGCGTGTAGAAGACTGCTTTGGCCACGTTTCAATACATTTTAAAGTCCTCTGACAGCTTGTTTTATATAGAAGGGAGATGGTATACATGATGTACTCTTTTGGCAATTAAGGAAAAATTAATGTTAAAAGTAAAAACAAGCTGCCTCTGGAATATAGTCAATTAGGGAAATGTAATAAACACACTTGGAGTTCAGATTAGGGGAGTATTTAGTTTGTCCTCAAATAGAAAGTTTTTTAAAGTACTTTTTGTCTGTGAAACAATCACCATAGTGCTATAATTCTGGTTTATAACCATTATAAATTAGGTAAAATATTTCTGTTCTTGCTCAGCCTCACCGTGTTTAGGGATTTTTGTTTACGGTGGCATTTCATGGGAGCACAAGAGAGGCTGCTTAAAAGTGTCACTTTTGTCCATGGCTAATCTGTAGAATTTAATTTATAATTTAGATTCAGAAGGTTTTATATTGAAATTTTTCATATTTAGCACCTGAAAAATGGTGAGATTTTTCTGCAAACGTGCTTTTGTGTTCATGAAACAAACTTGTTTGTGACTTCTTTGTTCAAGGACCATCTAGCCCAAAGCCTTTCAATTTTGTGAAGTCCAGAAAGCGCGATGGTGCGACTGAGGGTCTGGGCTGATGTTGCAGGTTCCTGTGCTGTCGCGTGGAGCCATCACGGCGTTTCAGGAAATGTTAAAAGCCCATTTGCTTAAATCCATTTTCACGCTACTTGAAGATACTGAACCAGCAGAGTTTTGATTGAAAGTACGCCAGGTTTTTTAAAGCCAAATGTTGATACAGAACTTGATTTGATTTGAGTGACGGAGCTTGGGAGTTCCTCTGGGGGCGTTGTACCGAGCACTGAGCTAAACTGGCCTGTTGTAACCTGTGAGGTGTCTTTAGTAAAGTGACTGTCTGAAGGAAAAATTACATGATATGGGCCTAGCAGAAAGGAACAAGGTTGGATTGATAGAAGGTGAAGTTGGCCATTGATCTGAGTGACAGTTAATGAACATGAAGTTACAGTGATTTATAACCAGATTGACATACTCTGAGTCACTAAAAGACTTGGATAAAAATCTGTTTATGAAATACGTATTTGAAACAAAATTCTGCATTTTCAAATTGGAGAATACAGGAGAAAATACATTTAATAAACTCACGGGTAGTACAGCACTAGGAACCTGTAAAAAAAGTCATATAAGTCAAACCAGTCTGTGAGCTTACGTTAATTGTGAAGAAATGTCCAAAGGAATTTTGTCACAATTCAGTAAATTACCTCGGTGGCAGGAATGCAAAAAATCCTAGGAATCATAGCAGGTAAGTGAAATGTGTTGGTATTTATCAACAGTCCCTCTGAAAGAACACGGGCTTGGAAGGTCCCTGCTGTGGGGCTCCGGTAAGACCAAGGCTTCGTTCCAGTTCTGGGCGCGGGTGGACGCTGATCCCTGCCTGTTCTGGCCCTGTGGGGCTGTCAGACAGCCTGGGGCAAGGGAAAAAGTTGCAGGCTGCTTCGATTTGTGCCAGTTGGCCGCGGTTCCGGAGGGCTGCCACGCTTCGCAGGGCTGACCTGCCTCCCGAGGGAAGGCACGCGGAAGAGCTCTGCACGGTGCCAGAAAAAGCATCTTTGGAAAAATTGTTTTGTCGTGTGCCACTTCAGAGTCATGGTAAAATCCCACCTCAGAAATGCAAAACCAAAGGGCTGGCTGCACATAAAATGAGGGAGTTAATACTTTGTTCCTCCAACAGCAAGATCGCAGTCAAAGCACCGTGTTTTGGCTTTGGCAAAGTACTGGGGGGCAAGTATTGACATGCTGAAGTTAGCTGAGTAAAGGACAGCTAAAGTGATGAAAAGATATAAAAAGACAACCCATGCAGAGTGAAGAAGACAGCTGACAAACTGAATGAAGAAATACTTTTTTACGAGCATGCAAAAGGTGCTTTAAATGAGGGGGAAGAAGTAGTTGTCTTCATTAGCCTAATCACGCCAGACCGAAACTGCATTGCACCAGCAGCGAAGGAGGTGGTGAAGTTTGAGAAGCAGAAGCCAGATACACTGAGAGTAGAAACAAGAATTTAATTATTTCACTTGAAACAAAAGGTCTTTCTGTGGGGTCTGCTTCTCTCACAGTTGGGAATAATTTGGATGAACAAAGCCTGGAGCTGATGGAAGACGGGGAAAAAAGAAGTGAGATTCATCCCGAGGAAGGTCACTGCTTGTGAATTGGCCTGGCACAAGTGGACTCCTGTCCTCAGAAACCTTCAGACGTGTTCTTCCGACCACTGGTGAATTTCTGATGCCATGAGCAAACTGTGGCTGTTTTGGCATTAAAATGGACAGCTAATTCAAACCCAGCACATCACCTCCTGCTTTACGTGGTCCTTCACAGAGCTGTGGTGGATTCGGTGTACTCAGCAGAAAATGGATGTTGCCACGTGTGGTTGTTGAAGCCTCCGGGTGTTCCTCACCTTTTAATGCAGAAAACCCCTCTCAATAACGATGTTCTGTTAGGACCAATCTGATCTTGTATGCCATCTCCATAATCTGTTGATGTCTGTTTTAACAGACTCACAGAACACTTCAGAGTGGATTGTACAGTGTGTTTCTCTTGTGAAAGGATTCTACGTATTTTTTATTCGGCGCGTGGTACAGAGCACGCCCTCAGAAAGAAGGCAGAGAGCATGTTAACTGCCCTGAGGCGCCGTGGGCAGTAGCCCCATGTTTGACACGAGAAGCTGAAGTTGTTCTTTCCAACCGATCAGGCAGAAGAGCTGTGAGGTACCTGGAGCAGAATGTGGTGTTTGTACATGCTCAGCGAAGGAATGCTAACTCGACAAAACCTGACATATTCCTGGAAGACAGTCTTTTTATTTTTAATCTCTTTAGGAGATCTTGCATAGTCTGCCATCCCAAGTATGACCAGTCGAGTCTTTTTATCTTGGATGAGCAATTACGTCATGTGCCTGAGTGATTTTCAGGTATTTGCAGGCTACTACTTGTGTATTACATGAATGATTAAAATACCTTAAACCTTGATAACCTCTATTTTGAGCTTGTACTCATGATCTCTGAGCTCTGACTTTATTCAAGCATTTTTCCCCCAAATATACAGTACTATTAAAAATATCTACTTCTGAAAGATTAAAGTGTTATTTTCTTGCTTTGTAGCCATTTCCATTGGTTTCCTCTTCACGATGGTTGGTGAAAAGAGGGGAGTTAACAGCGTACGTGGAAGACACTGGACTCTTCTCTAAAAGAACCTCTAAACAGCAGGTGTACTTCTTCCTCTTCAATGACGTCCTCATTATCACCAAGAAGAAGAGGTAAGAGCAGCTTCACCAATGCAGAGTTGCCTTTGTGCTCAGCTCCCTGAATCACAGACCAGCTCAGTCACTGTTGTTTTTCAAAATCTCCGTGACTGTTGCGTGTGCTTACCCTGGGGAGAGTGGAGGGTGAAGCTTTGGCCTTTGGAACAGCCCCTGGCCGCCGCGATTGCACCCACAGCACTCGTACCTCTGCTCTGGCCACGTGCTTGTTAGAAAGAATGAGGGAGATGTGAAGAGGGGTGGGCCTGGGACACCTGCAGCACAGAACGGGAGGAAATCTGGGCTAAACGTGGTTTCAGTCCAGTAAACACGTGTAAAGCCACGTGTGTGTTTTATAGGCTGTCAGAGAGCAAATGAGTGAAGAAGTCAGCTGAGTTCTGATACTGCTCTGTCAGACGGCGCTTAGAAGTGACAAGTGACTGACTGCTGGTTAGGATTTATTTTTGGCAAACACAGTTGAAATTCCAGTTGTCAAAAAAATGAGGAAGTTGATCCTTGATGCCTTAGCAAAGGGAGAAGTTTGGAAGGATGAAGAAGTAGGGATTTTCATTCCCCTCCACACTTCCCCAGCTGGGCTGGGATACAACTTCTAGCAGTTTCCATTTAAGTCTTTATCACTAGCTTTGAGGGGAGGTTTAGAATTATTGAATTGGATGCAGTTTACATCCTCTGCTGTGGCTATCAGGTCATACTTGCTAGAAAAACCTTATTCCTGAGGCTTAAAACTGTTTTGAAGTGCAGGTATTCTGCATCTGGGTTGGCCACTTAAGCCAAACACCAGCTATTTTTGAGAGAGAGCCTTCTGTGAAAGTCCAAAACTCTATTTAAATAAACTTTGAAGTATGCAGTATGATATAAAATCTGGGAAGAAAATGCTGATATTTAAGCAAAGAGAAAGCTAAATGAAAATGGAGGCGGAAAATTACTCAAGTGAACAGGGATTTTTTTTTTTATATTAAGATGGAAAGAAAAGTGAATCGCTTTCTCACCAGCTGTCTTGCTGATGCGGAGATGTTTCTGAGGTCCAGTGTTTACCAAAGCTTACGCTGAACTGGTTCTGGGAAAGTCCCTGTTAAATCACCGGCAGCACGTCAGCCGCATGGCGCTTTTTTAAACCCTGTGCTGCTTGTCTCATGGGCCTGCGGTTCACATGTTACAGTGCTGGTAGCTAAGTAAATGTTGGAGTTGGGAAAACAGTGTGAAAACTCTATTATCTGTGTTGTTACACTGTTTATTGGTTTCCTATGTGATGACTTGTTGTCCAGACTATAAAAGCGATTTTTATAACAATGTATCTTACCCAAACTTTGGGGATTTTGACTTGTAACGGTTTCCAGCTGTTGGAATCCAAATGTCCTAAATAGGCGCAGGAGCCACAGGGAACAGAACACTTCACGTTAACAGTCAGATCTGCACAGTCACTCTCCCAGGGCGCCCCTAACAACTGGACACAAGTGAAAAGGACCCGTTTCTGTCAGTCTCCCGGGGCTTTCGGTCAGACTGTCCTGTTGAACGGAGACAAGAATTGGGAAGGATTTGTAGAGGTCTGTCTCGGTTGATTAATTAGCAAGGAAGCCATTTATTATTTGTTATGCAAATGTTGTATAGACTCCATTTCTCTTTCAGATGCAGGATTCTCCAATCACTACAGCAGTGTCTGTAGGTGGTTTTGCTAGTTCCGCCTTGGCTAAGCAGGGATTGCCCAGACTAAAATACTGAAAGGACTTCTTTAAAAACAAAAAACAAATACAAAAAAACAACAAAAGAACCTCACCGCCAGCAATTCCCACTCTGAAAAAAAGTCTGACACTAAACAACCCAACCAACCTCTCCCTGTTTCAGAGTATATATGTTAAGGAAAAAGAAAGTGGGAGAGAGACACTGATAAAAACCATTTTGTATCTAATATTTTCTTCAGTAGGAACCCTGAGCTGCTACAGAGGCACTTGAAACAATTGTCCTCAAGTGATGAGTAGCATCTTTTTGGGATAAATGAATTAATGTGAATCTCGAGCTGGATTTAGGGGAATGTGAAACCTAAATCCCCACCGCTACCCCCTCCCCTCGCAGCCGTAAGGCTTCCCTGCAGCGGGGCGATGGCAGGACCGCTCAGGGGGCTGCCTTTCGGGGCCGGGCTGTGTGCACGCCTTTCCCTGAAGACAAGGACACGCAGAACACACCTGAGTTAAGATTCCTTTTGGCTTCCCCGCGTTATATGTGTGGAAATTAAACTTAGCTTTCTGCAGGTCCTCCCAGCTTCTGCGTGTGCTCATGTCACGTTCCTTTAATTAGACCCAGACCTTTTCGTATTGTTTGTCCTTTGGGACCCAGGAGGTCAGGTGTAACAGCACAATTCCCCCGGCTGTGTTTTTACAGAGCACTGAAAGCATTTGGTGGGTCCGGCTCATCCCCCACGTAGCTGAAATAAGAACTTTGCTTTTACACTAGACGTGCTGGCAGAAACTAACCCACAAATACAGTGATCTGTAAACCCTAAAGAAATTCTAATGCTGTGTGAGTAACAGAAACCAGCAACAACTTATGCTTTGAGCCATCATGTTGCTCAGTTGGTGTTTTAGTGATTCCTTTTCTGAAGGATTAAGCAGCAGCATTACAAAGAGCACTGTGTCAACTACCAAGGTGTTCACAGGTATTTTTCTGACAGTTTGCAAAATGGGTAGAATATACTTCACCAGATGTTAAGTCATCATCTCTATCTTCTGACAATATCTGAGCGACCGCAAAGGACGGATTCGCTTCATTTGCACCTGGCACGAGGGGTCCGTCACCCTCTGCTTCAGTTCCAGGTGTTTGGGATCCGATTTGTATCGGTTCAGCGCTCGGGTTTGTGTGTGTGTCTGGCAGCAAAACTAATCTTCTCAAGTATTTTTTCAATTTAAATTATTTTAATGAACCATAGTAATCTGGGGCTCTAGCATAGCTTTTCATCACTCGAGATGGAGGTCTGATAGATTTTACTTTTAAAGTAGAGTGTGTATAGTGGCACCTTAAAACCTGATGTATTTCATTTACTGCAACATTTGTCACACAGCAACGTATGGGCCAGGAGGGAGAACTGACTTCATGCCTACATAAGCCCTTTTTTTCTGTCTTGTCTTGTTGCACCAGTGTAGGACAGTAAATCTGGAAAAGTTTACAAGTGTACATGAAATTGAGGTAATTAGTTTATCAGTGTCCTGGGTTCATGATATATCCCGGTAAACTTGCAAACACACATAAGACAATTTGGAGAAGTACTCGCAAGCTTCAGTGGAAACAGAAAGCTGCCTTTTCGGCTGCCTTCTCTTTTCTGGTGATTAGTTTCTGCTTCTTGAGTAAGCAATGTAGATCCTTCTAACTGTTTCTTTAACTATGTTTCACAACTTTAAATGCACAGTTGTTTTCCACTTGGGGGGAAAAAAAAAAAGTTTCCAGTATTGTCTGATGGGGTAAGGAGCCCAGCCAAGACAGGGTAACAACGGCTGAACTCCTGCAGGAGTGCTGAGAACACTGCCCAGATAGTCTGCACTTGGAGCACACCTCGTAAATACCTCACGAGGGGTTGGAAGGGTTAAGTAACTGTTCCCGTCGGTCCTGGTTAGCAGAAGTGATTCTCCTGTTTAGAAAGGAAAGGGAAGAGTGCATATTTTCATTTAAGCCTTTGTGCTGTTAAAAATCAGTGACACTCCAGTGTTCCAGTTTGCGTTGTCTAATGTTTTGTCCACCTCTCCACCTAAGTTCCAGTGATGAGGAAAGCAAAGCCTCTAACCTGCGTAATTCTTAGAATTCTTTCTAGCTGCTTTCAGGGAGTTATTAAGCAGGTGTAGCCAATCATTACTCATGTCACTTAGAGCTGGTGTATGTATTTACAGTGTCCTTTCCAGAAGGTAAATTGCACATTGCATTCTGTGGGACCAATAGTGTGTGACAAGGCTTTGCCTATTTTTAAAATTCACACAGTGGACTAAGGTTATGTTTCAGAATATTGTAAAGTAGTTTTGGACCAGACCTTCTACGTGCAGGTGGACAAGAAGTGTACAGGTGATTGTCCCGTATTTAAAATGAAGATCAGTAAGGTTTATCTGGAAGCAGTGTGCATGCCCATAGTTTTACAGGCACAGGGAAAGGGAAATTTTACTACTTTTCCTATAACATTGTAAAGTTAATGTCTGTTGTTCATGTGAAGGTGAAGCTATAGCAGAAAATGAAACAGTGCAGCTCTATACAATTGTTGTGCCTCTTCTCAATTTTAGTGGAGTTAAGTTCAGCTTATGCCATCTCAGGAGCGCCAGAGTCATGTAACCGTGCCCCTAAATGAAACTCCATGGGGGTTAAAAACTGATCTACTCTGTATTTTGGAAAATTGATAGCTTTGAAAGACAAACAGAAAAGAGGAGGTGAGGTGTCAGAAGAATCACGCAATACCGTGTAGGTTAAAGCAGATTCTGTGGCTGAGTTTGCTTTCAGACATACTTAATGGCAAATTAAACATCGAACTTGTGGGGTTTTCTTCCCCTTTTTTGTTCTGCAGCGAGGATAGTTACAACGTCACGGATTATTCTCTGAGGGACCAGCTGGTGGTACAACAGTGTGAGAGCGAGGACCTGACTTCTTCTCCGGTGAAGAACGCCTCAGCTATGCTGTACTCGCGGCAGAGCTCTGCCGTGCACCTCTTCAGGCTGGCTGTGCTCAGCAACCACGCCGCCGAGAAGGTGGAGATGCTCCTGGGCACAGACACTCAGTAAGTGAAGAGAACTCCAGTCATTTTTCACCCACACCACCCAGTCGGGGCAGCACGGAATGCCCGGCTCCTGCCTGGCAGGGGGAAGCTGTGTCCCGAGGCAGGCGCCGGTGGGTGCCCGGGTGTCCTGGAGCGGCCGCAAGGGCACTGCTGAGGGAACGGGAGGAGCCCGGCCGGGCCCCCGGGACGCGGCGGAGCTGCGCTGGGATAGAGCTGCTCCTTGTTCTCCCCAGGCAGTCGGGAGAGTGTTCCGCTTCAGAAACGCCAACAACAAGTGTCTTGTTCTTTCGGGTGTAAATACCCAAGAGGCCGTCCTTCTCTGTGGTGGCATTAACTTCCACACAGCCCTTCACAAAAGTGAAAGATGTTATCTGTTCTAGTGGAAGTTGCAGGCGGGACAGAAGACATGAAACAGAACGCTCCAGACCTGTCCCAGCCTGGAAAAATTTAGTTTTAGGTTTGCTTTCAAAGTTTAGAATAACTCTGAAAGAAACTATAGATCATTAATGATTTTTATTAAAGATCTCATTATAAAGTAAGCAGATGATTCAGACTCATTTGGAAATGAGTTTTTATTGGGAAAAAATGCAGCACATTTTTAGTTGTCTGGGCTTTTTATGAAAGACATTTTGTTCTGCAGTTCTTACTGATTTGCTGTATACTGTTTGTAATATAAATAGCAGTCTAGCAGACTGTCATTCAGAGGAAAAGATTCTGAAAAGAATTACTTTATTTGAAAATAACATATTTTTATGGAGTATTATCATGTATACAAAAGATACAGCAAAACTTAACTTTCTCTCAACTGTGAGAAGGATGGGAAGCGAATCTACAGTAGGAAGGCCAGGCTGGGCGGTTTGAAGTGCTTATTGAACAGTTTTGCACAAGTAAAACGTAAATGCTAGGAGTGGTTACAGGGAAAGGAGAATAGCAGTCTAAATAACACCCATTTCTAAAAAAAAGTTAATTAAGCTCATGCAAAATTGTATACAGACATTCGTATTTTAGTTGAAACACAGCAAGTTTAGTGCCACCTACTTTTAATGACTGACGTGTCTAAAGTAGCATGTGTTGCAGTTTTGGCCACCTGTACGAGACCAACAGGTACCACAGTAGGACAAGGGCAGTAGTTCCATCTTTGACAAAGAATGGGTGTTGGGATTTAAAAGAACCAATCAGTTCCTTGTTAAATGCCAAATGCTCTAGAGGAGTTGTGTAATCTGCGTAAATGTCCCATTTTCTGGCACTTCTGAACACACTGTAATGCTGTTCCCAAACAGAATTTTCTTCTGGTTTCAGATGTCAGATTTTTCCCAAAATCAAGTCTCAGCAGAAGGCAGATGTTTTCCATTATTTTTAGTTAAAAACTGAAGTTGTCCAGAGATAGCAACAAAACTTTTTTTTAGGGGAGAGGGAATAGGAAAATTCAACCCTGCAACTCCCTTGTGTTGATCTGATCTGTACTGATAGCAAAGCCCTTCAGCAAACATGAGAGAAAATCTAATTTCACTGAAATGTTTGTTCTGGGAATCAAGTTCAAACTTGGATTTGTCAAAATTCAAAGTGCTAATGATTAACTCGTTATAGCTCAGCTGCTAACGGGGCTGATTCAGGATTAGTTTTCTTTCTCCTTTACTGTCTGACATCACTGTAGCTTGTTCCACTCCCTCCCAAAAGTAGTCGTCAGTAATTTGCACTTGTTTGATTTATTGTTCAGCACTTAGAACCTAGATAATTCTTTCTGCTCTCCTCAGAGGTACTACAGAGCTCTGAGGTTGGTCATGTTTTGCCTCAGTTATATAAGGTGAGATTCAGATGACTAATCTAGGGCTTCACTGGGTCCTTCCTTGTTTGTGCCGGCTCTGATTTCCCCAAACCAACAGACACCTCTGGGAACACGAATGTGTTATCCTGAGAGCACAGAGAAACTTCAGCTTTTTTTTTTTTTTTTCTTTTCATTCTAAGTGCACAGTGCAGGTACTTTTTACAGTAAACCATTTGGTATTGTGTATTAAAATTGCTCTATTGCATTTATCAGATGCTTTGTACATCAGATGGATTTTTTAAAAATAAGATTACTAATAAGTATTGGTCACAGACACTAGCAGAGAAGTTTACCTGCATTACTTAAAAATAATTAAAATGTATGTAGGACATCATGCCAGTAGGTACCATGTTTACAGCTTTTTTCCCTAATCCAGCCTGTTTAAAATAAATAAGTGTGAATAATGTATTAATAGAAGTACTATCACACCTTCTAGTTGTATTTTGAGAGGAGAAAGGAGGTTTGGTTTTGTTTTCTCTACCCAGTTATAAAGAGGGAAAATTTAAATACTGAATCCTGAACCATTACCGAGAGTGTCAGTTGGGAAACATGAGTTTTGTTTTGGTGTCTGCAGGAGTGACAGAGCTCGCTGGATTACAGCGCTGGGGCAGGACAGAGATGGGCAGAAAACGGACCGGACGAGTAAGTTCCAAGTCCAGGACTGCCGGGAGCTTTGGCAGGAGGGTGGGAATGCACTGCCCCTTAGTGGGGGCGGGCACGAGCAAGCGGCTGTAACTACCCCTGGGCTCGGCCGCTGTCCTGTGGGTGAAGCCGCTGACTCTCCCTGCGCCCAGGGCAGCTTTGAGGAGTTCTGTTTCACAAAGTTATTTCCATTTGCAGCATTTGCTGCCTCCTTTGGGTTTTGGGGAGGAGCATACTCTAAATTAGAAATTTTTAAAATAAATTGTATCTATTTTTAATGTAAAAGACACTCTGTTATGTGCATTGTTTAATTCAGCCTGGCTTATTTCACCCCAGCTCTGGCTCAGGTAGAGATCATCAGAACTTACACCGCAAAGCAGTCGGATGAGCTGTCTCTTCAAGTTGCTGATGTCGTTTTGGTTTATCAGAAAGTCAGTGATGGTGAGTGAGAATTCTGCTGTCAGCAGCCATCTGTCTGTCATGGCTGCAGGTGTACCCAGCTTGGAGGATTTGTTCCCTGGCAGCATCGGCCGCACAGGGAATAAAGGTTCTGGCTCCCAGGAGAGACGCGAGCGTTTCGGTTCGGGTCTCTGAAGGATGGCCTCTCTTCAGGCAACGGATGTTCAAAGGAACACGCTGCCTGTTACAATTTATATACATAAACCCCAACATGGTGATGGTTTTTAGTATTCCATATGAAATCAAAGATCTAGCAGCTGTGCTGTGTTGCTGTCTTTAGATTGCAATATTATATTCTTTATATATTATTTCAAACTATATTTGAATTACAATATAAAAAATTTATTACACGTTTTGTACAGTATTTATTTTCCCATGCTATTTTGTTCCCAGTCTGCCAGACCTATCTTAACCTGGTCCTTTATTCCCCAGAAGGTCGGTGTGTCAGCTGGGGTGTAACACAGGCACTTCTGCTGGTGTCTCTACCCCTGAAAAGCCCTTTGTGACCCCTTGTCCGCTCCCCCTGCAGGTTGGTATGAAGGGGAACGGTTGCGGGATGGCGAAAGAGGTTGGTTTCCCATGGAGTGTGCTAAAGAAATCACCTGTCGGGCCACGATTGACAAGAACATGGAGCGGATGGGCCGCTTGCTCGGACTTGAAACCAACGTGTAGGAGGGTCTTTGCTGCTCCACGCTGTCCTACAGGATTTGCACTAACAGCGGTCGGTGGGGGCACGGCTGCACGCCCTGCAGGCCTCGCACAGAAGACAGGGGTCACCACTGCAAAAAATCTACTTACAGAGCACTGATGTTTTGGATACTCGTCCCTTTTTGGTGTGACAGCTCCGAACTGAAACCTGGCTCCACCAGTAGCAGATTTCAACTAGAAGTAGTTTCTTAGGCACTGGAGATCGGCCATGCATCCTTTTTGACTCACATTTCAGCTTCAACTTCAATTCCTCCATCCCTGCCTCTTCACTTATTCTTTCTCCATCTGTTTTTGAGCATTTTGACTTTCTTTCAGAAGCAGAACTTGGTGTAGCAGTCTGTGTAGGAGACTAAACACCAGGAACTTGCCTGAGCCCTTGGGCTGGAAGCAAATAGTAACACTGGGGGAAGCTGCAGTGTTACATTCCCAGTACCAGAGCCTGTTAATGGGATGTTGTGTCAAGATCTGTCTGACCTGAACTAGCAAGGCAGGGAGGACCATGTCCCAGGCTCTGTGAGAGGCAATGACATCTCCGCTCTGTGCTGGGGAAGAAGCCAGAGCAGTGCCTGGAGGGGCGGTGGTCTCTGACACGGTGTGTTACTTGTGGGGGCAGCTCAGATGACTTCTCCTCCTAGTGCTGCAGTGCTGAAAGGATTTCTGAACGTGAGAAAGAGGTACCAAACTCAGCAGAATAGGCAATGTCAGTTTTCTGATTCTCAGATCCATTTTATCACAGGTATTTTAAAGGAGTGTAACTGCTGGAAATGGGTCCATTTTGTTTCCATTTTCCATGATTAAGTCAATCTTCATATGAAGTTAGTGCTTTTGAAGATGGGTTTTGATGAGGACTGCCAAAACCATGAAATACTCTGCTCTGGGCTTGGAGGGGTTGTTTTTTCAGTCTTCCTGCTCTTCTGTACTAGAGGAGATGATTATTTCCTTCTGTGGAGGCAAAAAGTTCAACTGAACTTCAGTTCTACCTCCATCTTCAGGGTTTGTTAGCATCGTGTTGAATCCACAGGTAAAAACAGAGGGAGAAGAGCTGTAGTTTTGTTAAGGTGCCAGGTTCTATAAATGGTAACAGACCACCACTGATCATGCCATACCTCAGTGAACTTGGTGTTTTGTCACCTTTGCCATTCCCATGTGACTGCAGTGGGTGCTTCAGGCAGGAGAGGGAGGGCAGGCGAGAGAGTGATAGATAAAGTAGTACCCAGCGGCTCGCAGCAGCGCTGCTCCACATGTGCTCTTCTCTGCTTTTGATAAGACTCCTCACAATTGCACTGCACACAGCACCTGCTCAAGTTTTGCATCTGCAGTTTAGTTTCGGAATTTCACAAAAAAGCAGCAGACAACCACTTAATGTTGTGTGAAGAACATGCACTTGAAAATGAAGGTAAATTTCAGTGCAAAGTATAGGTGTGACAGTTTGCATTATAAACTTCACCTTTCTAAGGACCAGCTGCTAACTCAGCAGGGCAGAACACACTCTATAAAAATGAGGGGAAAAAGTTGTAGTACAAAGGCTTTCTTGTTGCATTCCCCATCTTTTTTTAAAGGGGCTGTATGTTGTTTTATATACTGTAATATGCTGATTCAATTTGTGAATGAATTGGATGTTTATAAAGATGTATAACAAAATATAGCAGGAAGGCAATGATTTTGTACAAGAACACTTACCTTGACAGTCTGGCAGTGGTTATACAGCCTTCTAAATTAATTTATAAGTAGACTGATAAAATAGTAATGAGAAACTGTAAATTGAACAAAGACTTATTTAACATAGTAAAAAACCTGCTACTATTTTAACAAATTTTATTGTACACAGGCAGATGTTTAACACAACTGAATGTATAAATCCAGACATTAATTTTATTCAGATTTTTTTAATACATTGTATATATTTTTCATACCTAGTTTTTCCAAAAATGCTGTAATGTTTTTTAAAGACATTTTTCATATTGTTGGACACAGTTCTTCAGGAATTAAAGACTTCTATAATTTTATAGGACAACAATCAATAAAATCCTTTTAAATTCTTACTAAAAAAGGCTTCAGTTTTTCTTTCAGAAATACCATTAAACTGCAAGTTGTTAATGTCATTAAATGTTCTGTAACCTGTGGAATTTTAAGTTTTCTGTTCTGTGAAGATAAATAGCACCATCATGTGTCCTACTTCATCTGGCACAGCTCCAGTTTCTGCCTGTGCCCCTGAACTTGGAGCAGAGGTATAAATGCAGGCTGAGGAGGGCATCTCCTCTCTCAGCGACTGCAGGAGGAGATGGGAAGAGAGTCAAGGCTCTTCAGTTACCTTTGCTTTCTTTAAAAAAATGTTGGAAAGGATCTCAGCAACTCTGGTCCAGGCACTGCAGAGCTGACCATAAGGTCCAAAGGCCTCTCCAGGAAGCCTCTTCCAGTGTCTGAGCCCTTCTCAGCAAATAAATGATTCACATCCAGCCCAACCACCCCCATCCCCTTCCCTGGGTCCTGGGGAGCAGAGCTGAGCACCCCCATGCCCTCTGCAGGGAGCAGCGAGCTACCTCTCAGCCTCCTCATCTCCAGACAAGACAAACCCAGAGCACTCAGCTGTCTCCCTGCCTTGGACAGCTGCATTGCCTGGCCCTAGGTCTAGCACAACCTGACTTGTAGAAGTGACTGCACAGAGAATAACTCAAAATTAATAGAGAGAAGGATGGAACAAGGCCCTGCTACAGAGCAATCCAGAAGTGGAAAGGGATCCAGGTCTTATGGTAAAGACAACCACATTAGTTAAAAAGTTAACAACAAATGCTGGGAGACTATTTCAGTTATTTAAAACACAGAACAAACTTACCCAGGTGTTTGGGTACAAAGGAAGATGATGGCTTGTACTAGTGCCTCAGCACTGTCCTCTCCTGCACCAGGCTGCTCACCTCCACCCACATGCTGCCTGAACAAAAGATCAATATTTAAAAAAAAAAAAAGTGGCCTTTTGTGAGCTGCTGAAGCAGCACTTCCCAAAGGGCAGTGACTTTTCCAGGGAAGCAGCTGATGCCATCAGTGTTCTCTAAGCTGCACCGATCCAGCCTGCACTACACAATTCTCCCATGCACAGAAAAAAAAAAATCCTCTGCCCTGCTTTCTGTTCAGTGCAGCATCAGCATGTGCCTGGAAAAGGCACCCACACCCCGATGAGAAGCCATACCAGTTAAAATCTCTGACTTCCCCTCTAAATTCCATCCCCGTTCAAAGAGGTCAGAGAAATGTAAGACAGTATGGCAAGCAGTTTACCTGAAAGTTTGTATAAACACATTTTCAAAAGCTAAAGGTTATTTTTTTTTTTATATTTTCACCCTTTTAGCAAATGCACAGTATTTTCATTAGCAAATAAAAGTCATCTTTTCACTGACTTGCTCTAAGATGAGCACTCCTATTGCAAAGGGAATAATCTAAAATAATTCATCACTTTCACTAACCAGTAGGTGCACATGCACACAACACACACAAGTGCACACCCCCTCTCTCCTGCCCAAGGAAGACAGGACACTAGTAACTCCTTTTTAATTAAACAGCCCAGCAGTGACAGAATACAGCTGGGAGATTGTTGCAGTAAAATTAACTTTCATTTTTTCAGGGCCTAGAATTTCCTTACAGGACTCCTCTACTCAGGTTTTAAGCAAGTTGACCAAAACTAAAAGGTTCTCATTTCCCTGAATCAAAGTTTCATTTCACATGCTGCAATCACAGAAAACCCCAACTCAGCCCCTGGTGTAAGGTGCGCACAAGCCCCACGTGTAAGGCCAGCCAGTGCCTGGGTTACCTGTGTGGGCAAGAACTAAACCCCAGGTACACACCTGCCCTCCCTGAGGGTCAGCCCTGCCGGGGGGGACAGACAGGGACACCCTCAGCACCCCCACGGGGGCTGTGGGCTCCCGAAGGCCAGCGAGGCCCCTGGCAGCAAACCCCTGCCTGACTCCAACCTGTCCCAGCATTTCCAGATACAACACAACTAAAGAACAGTACTGTCTCTTCTGTTCCTTTTTATCCCTGCAACATAAATAGAACATTATAATCTACTGAAATTTATAAAAAGTAATGCTATAATGCAGTATCGTTCCTTTCACATCAAAAAATGTTTGTTCACCATTATGCGCAGCTCATTTGCTGAAAATAAAGAAGCAGCATCACTTAGCCTACACAACCTCATGAAACACACCTTTGTTCAGCATATTTACATGCACGTACCTTAAACTCCGTATCTATAGAATATGTTCACACAAACTTTCCTTTCCCCCCTGTATATCCTGTTTCTAAAGTAAGTCAAAACAAGCGGACAGAACACAAGTGTTAGAAAAACACCTAGAGTAAGTTTTGACAGCAGGATCTTCCCTCTGAGGCAGCCTCGTTCCCTGGGAATTACCCAGAGCTAGCTTTGCTCTTTGCTCTGCTGTGGTCACAGCTGATTTTCAACAGCTGTATCATAACTACTACCTCATTTAGGCAAACTGGAGATAACACAAAGGGCTGGAAGAATGATTTACCATCACTGAACTCTGTTTCCTTCCATAACCTGGAGTTCCAGAAGACCTTAGAAAGTAACACACAGGCAGAAACAGCCCTCATGAAGTGTACTATGAACTGGGAAGAGAAACATTCATGATCTCTGGCTAGCCATATGAAAAAGAAAGTTAAAAGCCTTACGTTACCTCATCGATCACCTCATACCTGGTGCCCCGGTTTAGCCCTGGTATGCAGCTAAACCCCAAGCAGCCACTCGCTTGCTTCCCCCTGGTGTGCTGGGGGGGAGAATCTGAAGGGTAGCAGTGAGGAAACCCCTGGGTTGAGGTAAAGACAGTTTAACGGGTAAAGCAAAACCCGGTTCCACAAGCAAACCAGAGAGGATTCATCCCTCACTCCCCAGGGCAGCCCATGCTCAGCCACCCCAGGGCAGCCAGGCTCCATCACATGTAACTGCAAACTGGGGGGACAAACGCCACAACTGCCAATGTCCCCCCTCCCTCCTTTGTCCCCTCCTTTCATTGCTGAGCAATATGGTCAGGGGGATCTGTCCCTGGGGTCAGCTGTCCCAGCTGTGCCCCCCATCCCCTCGCTGGTGGGGCAGCACAAGACACCAGACAAGCCTTAAGGCTGCGCGGGCACCGCTCAGCAATACCCGAACATCCCTGTGCCATCCCAAACCCACAACTCGGCACCATGCACACTACTGCGGGGAAAATTAACTCTACCCTAGCAAAAACCAGCACATCTGACATTTGGAAAAGGCTAATTTACAAACTCTGATGATCACAGAGGTTTCTGATACTTTTCTGCCTCAATAAAGTATGTTAAGCTACATGCTTTAAGCACAGCTGGGAAAGTACAGCTAATACCATTACTTACACATTAGTCACATCACTTTATAAGATCACAGAAGCACAGACTGGTTTCGGGTGGGAAGGGACCTCAAAGCCCATCCAGTCCAAACCCCCACCACCGGCAGGGTCACCTTCCCCCAGCCCAGGTTGCCCAAAGCCCCGTCCAACCTGGCCTTGAGCCCTTCCAGGGAGGGGGCAGCCACAGCTGCTCTGGGCAGCCTGTGCCAGGGCCTCACCCCCCGCACAGGGGAGAATTTCTGCCTTAGATCTCATCTACATCTCCCCTCTCTCAGTTTAAAACTGTTACCCCTTGTCCTATCCCTCCCCCCTGATGACGAGTCCCTCCCCCGGTTCCTGCAGCCCCTTTCAGCCCTGGGGGGCCGCTCTAAGGTCTCCCCGGAGCCTTCTCTCCTCCAGCTGAACCCCCCAACTCTCCCAGCCTGTCCTCACAGGGGGGCTCCAGCCCCCCCAGCATCTCCGTGGCCTCCTCTGGCCCCGCTCCAGCAGGTCCGTGTCCTTCTGCTGTTGGTGCCCCAGAGCTGGACCCAGCCCTGCAGGGGGGTCTCCCAGAGCAGAGCAGAATCCCGCCCTGGCCCTGTGCCCCCCCTGCTCTGGGTGCAGCCCAGCACACGGGTGGCTTTCTGGGCTGTGAGTGCACGTTGCTGCCTCACAGGCAATATTCTGTCCACCAACACCCCCAAGTCCTTCTCCTTGGGGCTGCTATCAATCCTCTCCTCGCCCAGCCTGGGTTTGTGCTGGGGATTGCCCCAACCCATGGGCAGGACCTTGCACTTGCCCTTGTTGAACTCCATGAGGTTTGCACATCCCACCTCTCTGGCCTGCCCAGGTCCCTCTGGATGCCATCCCTTCCCTCCTGCACGTTGACCATTCCACACAGCTCCGTGTCATTGCTGAGGGTCCAGCATAGCCCCTCTCCCCATTGGCTCCTCTATCACTTGGAGAAGAAAGTTATCATGAACGCATACCAGGAACCCCTCCTGGATTGCTTATGCCCTGCAGTGTTGTCCCTCCAACGGGTATCAGGGTGGTTGAAGTCCCCAGTGAGGACATTACCTTGTGAACATGAGGCTGCTCCCATCTCTCTAGAGAGCCTCATCCACCCAGTCAGTCTTCCTGGTTGGGTGGCCTTA